AAACTCCATAAAGAAAGTGTTTGGGTGCCTCACAAACTCTCCGATAATCATTGTTTCCAACGTGTGAACGTTGCTTCGTCTCTTCTGGCACGTAAAGAATGGAGACTATTTCACTTAATAAATGTTTTGTTTTAATATACAAGTTGTTCGGGTTTTTCATCTAAAAAAAAAGCAACATTAATTTTTTGACGACCTAATATGTTATGCACAAAAAATAAGATTTTTCAATAAAGAATTTTTGCTAGAGATTTCTCTGTGAATTTAAACAGCTTTTACTGAGTTTGAATGAAAGGTGATTTTCATGCTAAGAATAGAAATACCTCTTTTCATCATACAGTTTCCATATTTAACTTGCATAACCACTAGATCCTCCTAAATGAATATCAAGAGTATTTTTTGGTAAAACTGTATACTTATCTATTATTTTTGTACCCTAACACTAACGGTAACAAAATTTTCAATTTATAGTAAAATGAAAAATTGAAAAATATAAAATAAATTCAAAAATTTTTTTTATTTTTGATAATGACTGCAGATCGTAACAGATAATTACAATTATTTATCCTAAAAGCTTCAGTCTTCCAACTTTTTCATAAACTATGTCTAGTTAGTGTAACAAACAAATAAATCATCAGTGAGAGGTTAGAGTAAACAAACTATTAAGCTGCGCCATGCATACTTAGAAGATAGATCACAAGAATCTTTTTTTCATTCAAACTTTCATAGCTAACCTAATAAGTTCCTGTTTTTACGTGTTAGTTACTTTTGATAGTTTAATATAAGACAGTGACTGTGGTTCATAGTTTAATGTAAGATAGTGACTTTGGTTGATAGTTTAATATAAGACAGTGACTGTGGTTCATAGTTTAATGTAAGATAGTGACTTTGATTGATAGTTTAATATAAGACAGTGACTGTGGTTCATAGTTTAATGTAAGACAGTGACTGTGGTTGGTAATTTAATATTTACTAATTAATTATAAATTCAGAACATTGTTGCTTTTGGTATAATATTGTAAATCAGCAGTACTTGCAAGGCCCCAATGGTTTCAGCTGATAATAAAAACTTCATTTTAGTTGCAATACTCCATTTGTTTGTAAAGTGAGTGGTTGGCACTTCCTTGCAGGACTTCATCACTGGTTTTTTGTTGGTAGGGTATTGAAGTTGCTGGGGACAAAGATGATAGCCGATGTCTCCATCTCACTGTCCATCATCCTGCATCATCAACAGGAGCTTCTGGAAGAAATGGACGAACACCCCTTCTTGCTGCCAAGTTTGTATTTGATGATCATATCAGATGCATGGCAGCTAAGCAGCGTCTTACGAAAGGACGACTCAAGTCTAGGCAGAGAAAATTACAACAAATAGGCAAGCTATTAGAACTCCCTGATCATACTCAACCTCACCTACATCCAGGATTGCACATAATGCGAGAAGACCATGAACATTCTTCTGGTACGGGTATATATTTTTGTTCCATTATTTTATAGAATGCTAGAATTTTCGAATATTTCTTTAAAACATTACATATATTAAAAGAGAACAATCTTATAATCATACTTGTGAAGTTTCAGCATCATATATATTGTTAAGCAATAAACAGTATTAATTAAGATATTATAATCTGCTCTGATATTTTAGTTAACGTGCACAGATTACTAAATGAAAATTTCATAGGAATTGCATTAAAGTATCTAGAATTATATATGCTTGTGTGTGTGTGTATATATATATATATATATATATATTACTGTTGGTGCAACTAAGACATCATAGTTGTGGCAAACTTGTAAATATGGCTCCTTTTTGTATCATTAGAAGAATGTGATACACTAGGGTTGTATCAGGTAAATAATGTGATACACTGGGGTTGTATCAGGTTAAGAATGCAGTACACTGGGGTTATATCAGGTTAATAATGTGATACACTGGGGTTGTATCAGGTAAATAATGTGATACACTGGGGTTGTATCAGGTAAATAATGTGATACACTGGGGTTGTATCAGGTAAATAATGTGATACACTGGGGTTGTATCAGGTAAATAATGTGATACACTGGGGTTGTATCAGGTAAATAATGTGATACACTGGGGTTGTATCAGGTAAATAATGTGATACACTGGGGTTGTATCAGGTAAATAATGTGATACACTGGGGTTGTATCAGGTAAATAATGTGATACACTGGGGTTGTATCAGGTAAATAATGTGATACACTGGGGTTGTATCAGGTAAATAATGTGATACACTGGGGTTGTATCAGGTAAATAATGTGATACACTGGGGTTGTATCAGGTAAATAATGTGATACACTGGGGTTGTATCAGGTAAATAATGCGATACACTGGGGTTGTATCAGGTAAAGAATGCGATACACTGGGGTTATATCAGGTAAAGAATGCGATACACTGGGGTTATATCAGGTAAAGAATGCGGTACACTGGGGCTGTATTAGGTAAAGAATGCGGTACACTGGGGCTGTATCAGGTAAATAATGCTGTACACTGGGGTTGTATCAGGTTAAGAATGCGGTACACTGGGGTTGTATCAGGTTAAGAGTGCGGTACACTGGGCTTGTATCAGGTTAAGAATGTGATACACTAGGAACTTTACAAATTAAAATCTATCAGTAAGATTCTTTTATGTTAACAAATTTGATATATTAAAAGTATTTCAGATCAAAAGTTTATCAAAATTCTAATTGAGAAAACGATACACTAAGATTGTTTTTCAACTGCAGGAATTAAAGGGAACTGAATAAAAAGTACATCAGATTTGTTTTAGGTTCAAAATATTATAGGCTAAAATTTCATCAAAGAGCTAGATGAGATAAGACTGATTCTTCTGTATTTCAGCCATACAAAGAAGTCATTCTCAAGATATGGGTTTTCGCAGTAAAACATCTTCTCCTTGTGGTAGTCAAGGCCCTTATCGACCACTTTTTACATCCATGAATCGAGTGCCAGGATTTGCTACCATGATAAAGCGTGAACAGTGTTACGTGTCCAACTCGACTCACTGTGAATCTGGAACAGTCGAAAGACAACGCAGACAGAGTGGAAGCCCTTCAGCAAATCGACGAAATCACTCAGTTTCAAGATCCAAAGAGAGTTCCTCGAGACTGCAACAAAATAGTAGTTCTGAAGATATTCCACTAGATGACATGTCTAAATCATGGTCTCGTCACAGTAGCCCTAACTTAAGGAGACAAAGTGCTTCTGGCTTACCAAAGGTAAAATGTTTGTTTTATTAAACTTCTAATTATTGTGTTGCTTCTGTAAGATGGATATTTTTTAATAATTGATTATATAAAGTACAAGTGTTGAATTTACAGAAAAATGCACATTATTTAGCAAACTATTAAATGGAGTTAACATGATAGATTTTTATCAGTCTTTGATTGAATATACCATATAAGGTATACAAAAGCAATCAAAATTTATTAATAAAACAGAACAGACACTGTAAAATTTGGATTTGTAAACCTTTTTAAGAAAATCACAGATTAGTAGTTATTTTGTTCTCGTGTATGAAAGTGCAAAAACATATATAATTTAATCTATATTGATGTTAGTGGGTCATTTTATTAACTGATTTCAGTATATTTCAGGCCAGGATCAGTGCTCCACCTAACTTAGCGTATGTATCATCTACTGGTATTGCCACTCCTCCTTTCTCTGGTAGATTAACTGCCTCTTCAAAAGACAGTGAAGGCTTAGACAAGAAGTCCACTGTAGAATCAGGATACAAAAATGGTACTGAAGAACCATTTCAAGAGTGTACCACTCCTAAAACCTTGAGACCTGCTGAAACACCTCCAACATCACTGGTTACCGGACCAGAATGTGAAGAGTCTACTTCATATACTGTACCACACTTATTACCACCATCTGGTTCACAACTATATCACAAATATGAGGTTGTTTTACAAAATGGATTGTACAGTGAAGTAAACCCAGAAAGCCCTTCTAGTCCATGCATTAAACCTTGCTGTATGAATGAGGCCTCATTTGCCGAGAAACAGGTGACCACAGCAAATCAAGAGAAATCCCTGGAGCTTTTGGAAAGATCTGCAGAGATGCACTCAACAACTCCAAACGTTTCTGAAGGTTTGGATCAATCATCTTCACAGGAACTGATGTCTTCAAATACTGGAAAAATTGACTGTTCTATGAGGGATTCAAAACATGTTGCAAGTGTGGATATAATGACGGGGTTAGTTCCTGCAGCATCTCATGACAGCATTGAAAAACAGGTTGTGGAGAAGGGTGATACAACAGAATTAGGAAAAAGATCCAATAAAACTTCAAGTAAAGGTGCCGTGCACACAGTGTAGAGATTATTATATGTTTCAAAAAACTTATTTTCTCTAGCTTGTTGTCAGTGAACATGAAATGTGTTTATTAAAAACTAGAATATCAGTTACTAGTTGTTGGATTAGAAGTTCTTGTAAATGTTGTTTAGTAGTACATGAGGATTAGAAGAGACATGATTTGTATAAAGGGCTTTTGCAGGAGAGATTGTTCAGACCTTACTTCCTGTTGGTGATAAGAATGCTCAACTTAATATAACACTTTATGCTGATTTACCTTGTTAGTCAACATTAAGTGATCTTGTTTAGGTCCTCCTTTTGTAATGTTTAGAGTTATATTTCTGATGCCACATCATTACATAAACTGCTGACCACCCAACACTTAGTCACGCCAGATCAGAAGGCTTCGGCATAGAGTCCAAAAATATTGTTGTTGCCCATAATAATGTTTTAGGATAAACTTCCAATACCTTAAACCATAGCATGAGTTGAAGAACATGCCTTACCTAGTTACGAACTTCAGAAATTTAATTTATGGTTATCAGTAGCAAATCTCAAAGCCATAACTAAATGATATCTTTTTATTTCTGTAAATGAGTTAACATGGAAATTATGTCACATTTGCTTCTTATATATTTTTGGTATTATTGGAAGCATGAGAACTGAAAACTGTCCTTCATTTCAATTGTGTATCATTTGTATTAGTAGGTTTCACTCAACTTATGTGCTCCATATTTTACCCAGTAAATATTTGTAAGACATGTACAGAATGAACAACCTTCTAGTCTGTTCTGAAAATTTTAGTAGTTTAGAACTATTACGAAAAGGTTATTTTAAATGCTAAAATCATAATTTGCTTGTGTAAAAGTCCTCACTTAATTCTGCTAATGTCATTATTTTTATTTATTATTTTAAAAAAATGGATTCTTCCAGTAAAGGTGCTGTATCTTCTGGAATTAACCAGATTTAACTTGCAAATTTTTTTCATCTCCATTTTGACACATTAAATGTACTGCCAATCCTGTGGGTGGCAATCATCATGTAAATACTAGAACTTTAGCTTGTTTTTCCACTGAAGATGAAATAAAAGGGGTTTAAACTAATGTACACACTTGTGAAGAAAAATGTACTTAGGCAAAAAGTAATAACTGTTTACTGTATCTCTTCTTAGTGACATTGAATACACAGTGCATATGTGTGTGTGTGTGTGTTGATTGTATGAAGCTTTAGTAATAAAAGTAATTGCACCAAGCTATTTATATTTGCATTAACAAGTAATTGTTACTTTAATAATGAGGAATCAACTTTTTAGAAAATAAAAGTTTTGAGATGGCTTAACTGGGTAATGAAAAAAAACTATTTTAAATGTACGACATTTGAACAAGATTTTGTAATCATCAGGTACCTGTAGATGACAATCTTCTCGAAACGTCATACCTATATAAAGTTTTTTTTGCATTACCCAGTTAAGCTATCTCAAAACCTTTACTTGTCAATTTAGTTTTTTTTAGGTATACACTAAAAAAACAGGATACATGTTTTAATATTTCATTGCTCTGAAAGCTGAATCTTGTAAATTTAGAAGTTTGAAAGGGAATACTTTTTTCGTAATGGTGGTACAAAATTTCCAACTCTTGTATAGTGCTCTACAGGGGAACATGTCCCCCATGGCATATATATGTATCATATTACAACAAATATTAAAATAGATAATTTTATGCAAGAAATATGTAAGTGCTGAATTTTTAGATTTGTGAAAAGTTGTAGAGAGGTTTTTTATTCTTAAAATATTACAAAGCATGATAGAACAAAATTATAGTTTAATATTATGTTAAGTAACTGAAAACAAACTGAAAGTGATACATCAGTTGATTTTTTTTAAGGTTTTAGTTAGTAATAACTTGTCAAGTTATACATTACTAGGGAAACCATTTCCCAGTTATTTATAATTTAGTTTTAATATTAGCAATAACAGTTAACTGATGGGCTATCTGCCAGAGTTGTAGATATGACATTTTTTCATCCCTACTTTCACTCTTCTCGAGAAATGTCCATGAGAAAATTAATAGGCAAGAATAATGTAATGTATTTGTGTAGGTTTCAAATATCAAATCTAGAGGAGGATGAGGTGTTGTACTATAGTAGTGTAAATGGTACACGTACCAGGTGTAAAAACTATATATAAAAAAAGATATACTTTTATAAAGTAAAACAAAAATGATTTGAGAAATATATGGAGACTATTAAAGAAAAATAGATTTTTTTTTATAACTGTCACCACAATCTAATAAAGTGTTGCAAGTTGTTTTCACAGTTCAGTCCTTAGCATATTTAATACACATAAGAACAAATTTTCCTTCTTATTTCTGGTGCTGCAACATACTAGTCTTACCTACAGTTGAGCTAACTACAGAAACTATTTATTACACGTCAAATTCAAGCTTTTACATTGTATCACAAAATGTATGCATTCATGGCAACTTTCATTTCTTCGAAAAATACAAATGATTGGTTCAAGTATTTCTTTCAAACTACCTTCACTGGAATTCTATTTGGCCACTTAATTCTTTTCCCTTTACAATAATATTAACTTCTGTGCATTTTTGTATGTGTGTGTGTTAGTAATAATAATAGTTAAAACATAACGTGCATTTCACACATATTAATGGCTTTTAGTTATTGAAGGTAGTATTAATAAATCTACAGGTAACACAATGATATGGTTAAATAATCCTGAAATTCTTGTTTGCAAGTTTACTAAAAGTAAGAATTGGTACTATTTACATTTGTTTCTTATCAAATTTATGTACTTTAGACAATGTTGTCAACTAACAACTACTTTGTGTTGTTAACATTATGCTTATGTTTAATAATAAGCTGAGTATTTATTTTTACTCCTCTAAATTGAATAAATAAAGATTAACATTTCTTTAACACCATTGACTTGGTAACCTCTGTACAATGAAGTTTTATTTTCAAATCTATAAAGTTGCTAATTGTCTTTTACTTGATAACATATACTGACCAAGAGAATAAAATAAAGCTACTAATATGAAGAAAAGTAAGCTCAAAACTTGAAATATGATATGAAAATTTAACTTATTACTATAGCAGTAACATGTTGTAATCTTCAGGTAGCTGATCATCAATAGAAGGGAAATAACTAATAAATTCCTACTCTTTTTATATTAAAATGTATTAAACCTTGAAAGACTGTAGCTATAATACAAATAAAAACCATTCAAAAGTTCATATTAATTGGTGTGTTCAATCTTAAATGTATTCATAAAACATTTTACAATAAGAATATAATGTTACTAAAACTTTATTATTATTTCAAGTTATTTCTACATAAAATACAGTTCTACTCAATCCTTTTGTACAATATATGTTGAGAAACAACTAATATGCATTTAAAAGTCAGATGGCCCAATTAACTTATCCACAAAACTCTCTAATTTATCTTCATCTAGAACTCCAACAAATTGGTCTAAGACTTTTCCATCTTTGATCCCTACTACAGATGGAACAGCTGAAACCTTAAAAATAGACAAAAAAAAATTACAGTGTCTGCTTCTTTTTAATTTGAAATATATATACATATGTATTATACAACTAAATTCAAAAAGTACACCATAAACAGATACGAAAAATTATACTTATTACAGAACACTACTGTGGTGATAACACCCAAAAATTGGAAGGCATATTTCATCTTTCATATGAAGGTGAGAAACTAGTCATGGAAAAAAATAGGTGTATACATCCATATTGGGTTTAGATTACCATTCACCTGCTGGAATTCACTATGAGTATAATATTAACCTTGCATTAGAGAATTATTTCTATATAACCTTCCTATATAGAATATGATGAAATTACCCAACCACAACCCATGTTAGGATTTTAAATTTCTTAAACTTCTATAAATGTACTACAAAAATTTGTAAGTTGTACTGTGTTACCTGCCTTTACAGTACAATGAAACGTAATATAATCACCTGTACAATTTAAAGTAACTAGCTATTGGATGTTAGTCTTTCCAAGCTCGTTATTGTTAGGGTTAGTGTCATATAATTAAACTTGTTAAACAACAGAGAAAAATTAAGCTTACTCCATATTCCATAGCTAATTCTGTAAGATTATCAATATCTACTTTAGCAAGGTGAACCTTGTCTCCTTTAGAATCTATTACTTTTTCTAGTCTCGGACCAAGCAGTTTACATGGTCCACACCACCTGAAAAACAAAATGAAAATAAAAAAAAACTGCAAAACATTATTCTTATATGCACCAAAAAAAATTCTAGATGTTTTCTCAAACACTGCACTCAGTCAACTCAAAATTTAAAACAATTTGCATAGTTATATTTGGTGAAATTGTATTCAAGATTTTATGTTGCTCACAGAAACTAATGTGAATTTATAATTTCTATTGAATTTGCATAAGTAAAAGCATCTACACAGTGAATTTTCTTTTACATGTACCAAATTGCATATTGAGAACTGAATCTGCCTAAGTAGGGAAAACAAGCATTACACGTTTATTTCATACATCTAGTAATGTTTTCATTAGTACCATACATATAATTTTTTTCAACCCTTAACACTTCAGTTAAATGTGAACTTCTGCATCAAAAATTTAAAACTGATGATGTATAAAAATTCATCCTTACTTAAGCCTAGAAAATACCATTTACAACATAACTAGTAGCAGTAAAAATAAGCCTTAGGCATGAGATTATATTTAAAAAAATTGAAAGTGTATTTGTATTTCAAGGTTTAATAAATTTAAATTTATCATTTAAACAAATTTTACTGACAATTGAATAATGTATGGCATATCTTTTTGAAGTAACTTTCAAATGATTTATACACAAGATTAAAGAACGAAACATCTTATGGTCCAGACATCAGTTGCCTCATGCTTTTGGAATTGGTATTTATAAAAAATAAGGAAGAATCTGTCCTGCAATTTTCATGCCTAGTGTTACTTCATGAAGGAAACTAACCTTATTAGTTCATGAATACTAGCCTGAAGCCTAATCTTCTTTGTTTTCACCATAAAATAACATGCTCCATTTTTGTGTTTTTACAATATTATTTACAAGAAATTTGGCTCGTACTGTACATTTGGTTCAACTTAAAAATTAATGTGCTCTAACTCTAAAAGTTAGTTTTGGCCTGGAAAGTGTACGTATAAAACCTACAATAATACTACATGAAGCATTCTACTAACCATAAGTAAGTTCAAATTATGATAACCCACATGCATTATCTTGCATTTATTATAATTAAAACCCATTTGCCATTTGTTTGCCCAACTCACTAAATGATCTAAATCCTTTTGTAAATCAGCAGCATCCTCTTTACAGGGAGCTACACCCAAGACATAAATATCATCTGCAAATTTAAGTAATTTATTTATTCCATCCAGCCACCCTTTTGTCCAATTTGCTAACTTATCCTTCACACCTAGATATAATTGTTTTACAAGCCTTTTATGTGGCACCTTTTCAAAGGCTTTCTAAAAATCCAGATACACCAAATCTACACCCATACCCTCATCTATATAAGCAGTAACATTTTCAAAGAATGTCAAAAGATTTTCTCTTAGTGAAACCATGTTGACTATCCAATAAAATTCTAAACTTTGTTAAATGGCTTTGGAAAGCACCTGTTATCAGACTTTCCAAAACTTTTCCCACAACTGATGTAAGACTAATGGGCCTATAATTAACAAGACAATTTTTACCATCTCCCTTGAAAAGAGGAGTGACATTAACTAACTTCCAATCCTCTAGTACCTGACCACTATACAACTTACAAGGACTTTAAAAACCAAGTTCTCAACATACTAATTCTCTCAAGACTTAAACTTATTCACATTTGTAGTAAATACTAAAACAGAAATATCAGTGTGGTTTATTTCAGAATATAATTTATACATTGTTACAAGTTGTAACTTAGTCCTAGGTTTACAACAACACTGAGAAAACTAGACAAACATAATGTAAATTGGCAATGAGTGATGTGTTAATAATAATATTAATAATAACGCTATTTACAATAATGAATAAAAAATTAAAATCTAAGTTTAGATGCTGAAATTATTGTATTTCATTTTCAGTATTTGTAATTTGTAGGCTTATCTGCTCTACCTGTTTACTCTTCAGGTTTTATAACCTAAGCCTCTGAAATTTTCACTTTACTTACGTAGCATGAAAGTCAACAATAACAGGTACATTTGATTTAAGGACTCTATCTTCGAAGTCCGCATTATCCTGAACATTGAACGAATCCCACAAACATGAAGACGATGCAATAGATCTGTGTTTCTGTCCTGTCGTCAAACGTAAACCAACATTAGAAGTTGATCTAAAGAAACATCTTACAGTCTTTACAGAACGGCTGAAACACAAAAAAGCTGGCAAATTCATGATTAAAACAGGCAAAATTTTAAATCTTGATTAACGCAATAAGCACCAGGTTGGCAACAGAATTTTCTGTTCCAATCCACAAAAATTCACGAGTAACTAATGCAAATTATTGTATGTAAGTATCGTCACTAGAGGGCAAAGAATAGACGCGAGAATCCAAAAAAATTCGAATAGTTAAATATTAGAAAGAAGTCCTTTAAAAAATCACACAAGGTTTTATCTTTTGTACAGAGTAAAACTTTTGTTTATTTTGTTCACAAGGTTTTACTATATTTATCTGAAAACGCTCTGGACAAAATAAAGAAAACTTATGCTCTGTACAACCGATAAAACCATAGTTTATTTTTATCTCTTATGGATAAAACCTTATGTGGAATTCGAATAATAAATAGAATAAATTAACATTATTTCTAGAGGTAGTGAAATATATATACGTGCATCTGCCTTTACATTGTTCAAGCAAATGTGTTTAGATAATAAGTATCAAGCTATTCTTTATATATGAAATATATATCAAAACTCACCTAACATAGCCCCGACAGCAAGTCATCCAATGGAGCCGTGGTGGTCTGGCGAATAATTCCGTTAATTCGGTTCTTAAAAGGGCCTTTCAAGCTCATACTAGATCCTCTCATAATTAATGCATCTCTTTTTCTAATTGTTCTGACAGATCTCGTCGCTTTAGTAGATGGTCTTCTTCACAATTATGAAGTGCCCAGGCCTCCGTCCACCTGGCTGCCAGGTCTAAGAAGTGGTGTTTTAACACCATTATCTGCTGAAGCTTGAATAGTTGTTATATTTCTGTTGTCTCAGAAGTAATGGCAGGGAACACCACTAGTGGAATGGTAGAGGTAGACGCCCTGGTACCACAGGTGGTCTTTTCAACACCAATGTTATCACAGTATTGGCTGCCATTTGGGAGTTTCAATTAGCATGGCATGAAAAAGTAGTGGAGGTGGCTGAAAGGGTGGTTGCATCAGACCTGCTTGTTTAAACACTAGGTGGGGAACAGTCCAATCAAAGTTGAACAATAAGCATGCTGCTGGAATGTATGACTGCCAGATCCAGTCTCCAATCTGGAAGGTACTCTTCCTGGCTGTCTTGATGAATCATCTTTTTTGTATATGGTAGTCTTACCTAGTTCCCAGCATGAAGACTCGAGTGTGTCCACCATGGCTATTCTCAGCCATTCCACATATAGCTAAAGGCATTGAAGTGCTTTAGGACTAGAAGGTGGGTCATACAACAGGTCTACAGGGAGCATTGTTTTGAACCCAAACATGAGCATGTCACTAATCATTACACATGGCAGGTGTTCATTCCAATTGCCTTTACCATGATTCACAAACACTGAAAGCATCACTTAAACATCTGTAACACTAATTCACCTACTGGGAAGTGTATTGTGAACACTGAGCATCTTGCACAACTCTAAGAACAACTGGTTGTTGAAGTTTGTTCCATGGATAGCTCTAGGTGTGCTTAAATCTGTTATACACTGTTCTGCTAACACATCAGCAATGGACTGTGTTAATGTGTCAATCAATGGATGTGCTTTGGTCCACTTTGTGAAGTAGTCAATAGTGACAAGACATATTGAGTATCTCTCTTGGTCTCTAAGAAGGGACCAGCAATGCCCAGGCAATTCTTCAGAAGATAGAACTATTAATATTTTGCTGGAGTTTGTCCTATCAAGCTCATACGTTTTTACATTGCAGTGCTGACACCAATGGTCTACAACACAACTGAAACACATTCATCAAAATAATTGTCGAATGTTGATGAGACTGTAGATAACACCATGGTAAACTCCAATCCTTGCATAATGCAGGGTTTGGAAAATCTAATTTTGCAAGAGGCAGGGTATCAGGAATTGCAGTACTGGCCAACTCTAACATCGTAGTATGCAATCGTATTGGTACAAAACACCACAGTACATCTGTAAATGCTCATACAAATACCACGGACTGCATGTGCCTGCAATCAGCTACTCAACTGGTGCTGGGTGTTTGCTACTTTGCTGCATGGCAAGGAGCATTCATATTTGTTCAGAGTCTCTCAATTGCTCTTCACGGAGCTCTTGAGTGGTGGGTTTTGGTAGCCAGTCATCTGTGAAATTACAGACTGGATAGCTTTGTATTGAAATCGTAAATGGTCATTGTTTGAGCTTGGTGTCCCAGATCAGGACAGTCAACAAATGAACAATGCCTCACCTTGTGGTGAGACATCCACATTTCCATTTTGAGCTCCTAGGTGATTTATGGGTTTCATATTCTCAAAACATTGTGATCCAATGTATAATCATCCCTTTCAGGTTTTTAAAGTTAACACACTGTGTCACAGATTTAACCCCAAAGCAATCCATAGGGCAGAATTCAAATCTCGAATCAGACAGCCAATTGAGAATTGGGTAAATGGTTCAAGAAGACCGTATAAGAAAACATTCTAGGGTATACCTCATGCAGATTGCAATGAAATACACATCAAAAAGTTTAATGATGAGCTGCTGAGTAAACCATTGCAGCACCACATGTATCTGAGGAAAATTTCATCTCTCATGGATGCAGTTCTTGTGGCAACACAGTTTGAAGTGGCCACATAGGACTATGCACTGTAGCATAAAAGGAAACTAGCAACAGTTGCAGCTACAGCTGCAGAATCAGATGCAGCTCCAACAGAGTCTCCAGGGTTCTTGATGGACCTAAGTCTTAAAAGTCTATATCCTGCTGCCAGACAATACCAATGAATATGGGTACCATTTAGAGCAAACCACAACAGTTGTATTTAACTACTCCAGTTAGTTTAAACTAATGGTGCTTGAGTTGGGATGTGTCACTGCTTTAAGCAAATGCAGAAGTCAGCTCACCCTTGATCTTATGGTGGTCTGTTAAAAAAAACATGGACTAAATATCTTGTTGTATGTGCTGATGAAAATACATAGATGTCAGGTTGAGTTGCTATTGTATATTGAAGCCACCAAGGCCTTACTCGACTTTGATATATATCAGAAACTCCATGAAAAGTCACCACTTCATCTTTGCAATGTTGTATGCCAAGTAAAACTAGTTGTCTCTGGTCTAATTACAGGCATTGGTATTGGTATCTTAAAGATGGACCTACTATAGAAATATCAGCCAGTTTTACTTGTTCAACAGGTAATCTGCAGTACTGTGACAAAACTACCCAATCCTGACCATATTGGGCCAAAGAACAGTAGACTACAAGTGTATATGTTGAGAATTATGTAATAATGCCACCATATGTACTAATTGTGTATTGTGGTGTACTATAAAAGCAGTCTAGTGCACGGCATATGTCTGCAGCATTGATATAACTGATTCAAAAACATTTGTTTTCTGTCTGGAAAGCAGGATGCACTAGCTCAAACAGTAATCTATCCAATTGAATGTCTGGATATGTTGGAAGATCCCCATTACTTCAATACACGATAACTGCTGATAACTGAGAAATTGAGATGAATGATGAGAGTAGGCTGAAGACTGCTTTCAGCAGCCTGAAAAGATTGTATGAATTACAAGTCATACACATGGATATTTCTAAAGGCTGATGTAGCTTACATATAGAAGACTGAAATGGAGTAGATATCTTATATTTGCATTCAAGTTTTTCTTCCCATGATTCGAGCTACTGCTTAGAACCTGAGATTGGTATTTCAATGCATCAAGTATGTAGGTTTACAATTAAGACCAGGAAATTGTGAAAGTGTGCATTCATGTGTATAGAAGTGGAGTTGCTAAGTTATATAATAGGCATGGATGGAATGTCCACAGAACCTCTAATTATTACAGTGGTGAACGACTAGCTTCAACCTGAGACCAAATTGGAATTCCACAGCCTTTTAGGTTTTATGTTGTATTATTATTAATGGTTTATGCCCTGTTTCTCTAAGATAGCTACCTACTATGTTCATTGACAAGGGCTAATACATAGGAATTTAAAAGCATCTTTCAGTCCTTGACTTATCATTATCAACCTTTCTATTTGTTCAAAACACAGATACCAGTGAAAATAGAATGAGAGTGGTACAATATGGTATGAAGTGTGTAATCAAATATGCAAATCATGTGCTGATTGCTCTTAAGTAACAATACTATACGACAAAGAAATAACTGCTTGTAGATGTAGTATTTGTAAAATATTACCCCCGCTACTTGTATAATAAGCAATTCAGGTTCATAAGTCCAGAAGATATGTATGAGTGCACAAGTACAAATTCAATGTAAGGCCTGCCCAGGTTAACAAAATGAAAACATTAATGGATTATCTTACCAGCAAGTACAATCATGCCTATTTTTTTTTTTTTTTTTTGCTAATTCGGCTCATGGATACTGTCTAACTCATGGCAGAAACGATTATGAGGAACCATGAGTGATGACAATTCTGCATTTGGGTGGATATGAAGAATGGCAAATGAAGAATTCCCAGAAGAGCAACCGAAGGACCCAGACATAGTTTGGGCACTTTTTATGTGCAGTGAGCTAAACCATGTCCATCACAAAGTGGCATAACTACTATATGGCTATGAGTGTGGAATGGTGTGTTGAAGATCTTTATGAACCACAGAGCTATGGTAGCCAACTTATGAGGCAATTGATCTCCAGAATTCCAAGGGAAAAAATACTTTAGACATTGTATAATGCAAAAAAGGAAAGTTGCCAGGAAGTGGCATTCACAGTTTTCTTGTTTTTTTTGTCACCTTCATGTAAAGACAATGAGTAATGGTTTAGACATTGTACCATGTGTGCTGTCCAAAGTAGAAACTGAATGAATCAAGGAAACTATGTCGGAAAGCTGTAGGTTATCCTCTTGAACTGTTGATGAAAGATGAGAATTTTGACAAACCAATAAGTTGGAAGGATATTGCACATTTTTCATTCCGAGCAGCACCTAGATGGCGTTTTGAAACAGATGTTAGTGGAAATTTGTCGATAAAAGCTTCCCGGGCATATGTGGAATCTTGTATTTAAGCTGACACGAATTTGTATTGTGTCACCATCTGATGGTCTGATAGGGTCATGCCAGTCTTTATGAAATGTAATACAAAAGCTATGCTGTAACCAAGCATGAAAAATTGATATA